TATACCTTGTTATCTCAGATTCTCCAGCATCTGCAGTTCCTACTATCTCTGAAACCATAGTAATTTAACTCATGGTCTCTGTTGGGAAAAAAACTGCTGTAGATCAGTGATAGTAGGAACTGCAGATGCTGGAGAATCTGAGATAACAAGGTATAGAGCTGGATGAACACAGCAGGCCAAGCAGCAAAAGATTTTCTGAAGAAGGATCTAGGCCCGAAACATCAGCTTTCCTGCTCCTCTGATGCTGCTTGGCCTGCTGTGTTCATCCAGCTCTACACCTTGCTGTAGATCAGTTTTTACTTTTATCTTATAAATACTAACAACATTTTTTAAGTGCCAAAAAGATATAAACCATTGAGAAAAATGGACAGATAAAAGCAGCGTTTAAGTAGTAATGATACCATACAGTGTGTAGTTACGCTAACACTGCAACTGTTGGGTAAGTCATTTGAAACATAAACAAGATTTTCTGGCTGTTGTGAAATGCAGCCATATAAGGAGATTTATATTCACATAGACTATGACAGCATATACTGCTGAGTAATGCAGTAAACTTTTAACATAACTGACTGAATGGTTTCCTGTTGAGTCAGCACAATAAGCCCCACCAAGAATGTTTGTTTACCTTATACCATATGGCACGTCATTATCTAATAGCTTGTTGCATAAATTTTGGAAAACTCAAACGACACCTGCAATACCTGTGAACTTAATTCTGAAAAGAATTATCCACAGAAGTTGCCAAATTGAAAACTTAAATGAGTTTAATTGTTTTTATTCATTCTTAGAATATGAATTCCGCTGCTAAGCATTGTCCATTCTTTTTGTCTGTCAGAAGGTTGGGAGATGACTATTCAAACCACTGCAGTAATTTAGGTAGAAAGATCCATGTTTTTGATGCAAAGACTGCGAAAGAACAGCAATACATTTCTAAGTCTGCATGATCTGTGACTTCATAAGGAACTTACAAGTAATGGTATTCCCTTGTGTCTGTGTCCTTCTGCTTCCAGACGATAGAGATCACCGGACTGGAAAGTGCTCTGAAAGGAAGCTTGGCAAACTTCTATAGTGCAACTCTTAAATACTAAAGGTAAATTCACCATAGTCCTGATGGACCATAGGTCACTATCTCATTAGAGATGACTTTGTTGTTTAACCTGAGGGTCATCATACCTCAGGGGTGAGTTTGAGAAAGTAAGGCTTTCATGGTAATGAATGTGGGATGTGGGAATTGAACCTGTGCTATTGGCATCACTGTACGTTGCAAATCAGCTATCCAGCTAACTGAGTTCTGTCTCACTGGCATATGGACCAAATCTGCTTGCCCTCATCTGAAATGAACAGTGCACAGGCTTCTAATACTCCTCTTTCTGCACGCTGTTGCTGTGATCTTTACTCATGTTCCCAACTCTGACTCCACCCTTGTACCCCTCAGGGTGTGCCTCTAAACTGGTGGCTTGCTGCCTCAAAAGGTGATGTTGATGTTGCAATCTTGAATAATATGTCCCTTTATCTTTCTCTCTGGTTGGACTCCTCTCTGGGATAGTGCAGGACTACAGCTCCAGGATCTGAGAGAGAAACATAAGACAGTCCTGAGATCACGTTATGCATCAGACAAAGCATCATAACCATTTGCGATTGAGATGCCTTCCCCAAAACCATCCCTTTCACTCCTTCCCTTATTAGCCCTCACCAACGCATGCACAATTCAACCACCCCTAAGGTCACGTGCATCTAGAAGGTGGGACTCACCATCACCCACAGGCTTTGATGGTGAACTCCATGCTCTGGCCACTTCCCTCTCCATAACTCTAAACAGCCTCAGATTGGGATCCCAACTCTGGTCCTGGCCAGCTCACTGGTGTTGTGGGCTCCATTCTGCAGAAAATAAGGGAAAGCTGAATGCCCAAATGTGTCCTTCTCAATCTCCCCATTCACACGTACATTATTTGCTGCGCTTTGACTATTGACACACCCACTGCAGCACTACTGCACCATGTCCACTTAAGGCCATTCTTGTTGCATAAAACAAGGTCAAGCTGCATACCTAACATAGTTATCTTACTTACATTACCATAGAGCTGAAGCAGTTACAATGCTGGACCCAGATTCTTCGACTCTGACCTCCCTGCTTTTGTGAACAAATTCTTGATGGTCTTGTGAGGCAGTCTGAACTCTAAGGGAAGCAAAACATTCCTCTAGACCTCTACTTGCTGCAGCACGATGTCTAGGTTCTGTTCGGAGGGCCTTGAGAGTGCTTCCTCGCGGGATTCCTGGTTACCAGGCATGAAACATCCTCGAATGAGCAAACAGTCGGCATTTGCGTCAGCTGTGTGTGGCTGTCATTGTGGGATACTGAGAATGGACATAATAATGAAACAGTGATGTAGGTCATGATGCACATGACTACTGATGTGACAATTTTCAAGAGACTAAGAAGAAACTATGGGCTAGTTTGTACTATTCAGAAGTGTACTTAGAGAAAATGGTATTGGATATGATGGCGTAAATAAGAGTTTTTATACAGCAGTCACTCTAGGTGAGAGGAACCCGTTACAGGCCACAAACTACTGAAAGAGACCAGATATCTTCTGGGTGGATATTGCTGTAGAGACTTGCAGAGCTACATTAGCTGCTGCATCATGAAAGCCAGGCTTTCATGGCAAACAGCAAAAAAAAACTGGGGTAATAGTATTCTCAAAGGATAGAATAGCAACATCGCAATATTGTCTTGGACAGTGAACACACTGACGTTTGTTTAAGTAAGGGCATGCAGCTGATGAGACACTATGTTTCTGCCAACATCAAACTACCCAATGCTCCCAGCACGAGGGTCACACATCACCTCCAGTGGTGTGGCAGGCCTGTGTCCAGGGAGATATTTAATTTACGTCCCATTTACTGCCCTCTTATTCGGCTGAGGATGGGAAGCACCTAGCTCTGTTCCTTATTCTTCTATCCTCAAATGCAACTCCCCACTTAAATGCGACTCACAAAGTGCACGTGAAATCTGCCCCTTATATGAAATTCCCACGCAGAGTTAGTCACAAGTCTGGAAACTGTGAAAGGTTTGACTCTCAATTCACGACCCTGTGTGGGAAAATCTGACCTCACATCTCTGATCTGATTAAGTAATTAATATTATCCATTTTTTGTAAAGTGGAAACATTTTTTGAGGGTAGTTGAAAGACATTTTTAAAATTCTTCCTTCATGGTGTGGTGCAGAGCTAAGCAGCTAATTTTTTAAACATATCCTGCAAATGTCTGGCAGGCTGAAAATGGTGATCGTTATTGCTTATTATGCGCAGTACGAGTTGCAAATTGCCCTTGCATATTTTCTCGGATTAGACGGTAACTCTGACTTGGCATAAAGTACTCTGCGTGCCTTTGTAATTTTGCATTAGTTTAATAAGACCTTAGCATTTTGAATGAGCTTTTGGCTAATGCTTATGAAGTTATTTTGGAGTAAGCTGAATCCTGGAGGGGAGCTCAACATAAATAACATTCTATACATGGCATTATGTAATGTTTTACTGATATGTCAAACATTATCAAAGAAAATATTGCCTCATTTGGAAAGTACTGAGATTATAATTTACACTTTTTTTGGTGCGGCATTTGAGAGGTGACATTTCATAACAAATCTTGTGACTCAACTCCATTGGAAATGAGTCTAATAATATCCCAAGTTTGTAATACCGAGAACAATTATAATTGTGGTTGCACTCTAAATAGTTTGGCAAGTTCATAACAGCTACAGGTATAACAATGAATAAGTAAACATTATTTCAATTGTCAAATTGTAATGCATACATTTATGAGAAACAGGACTTTCTGAAAGTGCAGATTTTTTGAATGAAAGTCTGTCAGACTTTTCAGGTGAATTTAAAGATCCTACACCACAACCAGAAGAAGAGCAAGGAATCTTCTGATTCACCAATGTCTTTTAAGGAAGGAATGTGCGGTCCTTCTCTGACTCCGAACCCACAGCAATGACTCTCAACTGCCCTCTGAAATGGCCTAGCAAGCCACTCAGTTGAATAAACTGCTAGAAAGGAGAAAAGGAAAGAAAATGGATGAAACTCCTGTCAACAACCTGGGCACTGGAAACAGCAATGGCAGAAACAGCCCTGTAGACGCTACAAGGTTCCCCCTATTAACACCTGGGGTGCCCTAAACCCGGGACAGCTGTCTCACAGACTAGTCAAGCAACAGCCTTACATAGTCCCACTCATGTCATACCTCATAGGCAATGTCCCAGACACCAGCATCGCCATTCCTGGATATGACTTGTTCTACAGGCAGGACAGACCCAGCAGAGGGTGCGACACAGTGATATACAGTTGGAACGGAATTGCCCCGGGAGCTGACTCTAGAACCTATGAAATCTTGTGGCATTAGGTCAAAACATGGATAAGGAAACCTCCTGCTGATTACCGCAGACCGTCTTCTCTCCACTGATGGCTCTGTGCTCCTCCATGTTGAACAACACTTGGAAGAAGCACAGAGAGTAGTAAGGGCACAGAATGTTCTCTGGGCAGGAGATTTGAATGTCTATCTGGTCAAATCCAAAAGGACATAGCTGTTAGACGGGATCTGTAGCAGGTGGTGAGGGAACCAACAAGCGGGAAAACCATACTTGACCTCATCCTTACCAATCTGCATTCCACAGGTGCATCTGTCCATGACAGTATTAGTAAGACAGACTATCGCACAGTCCTTCTAGAGAAGAAGTCCCGCCTTCACACTGAAAGTACCTTACATCATTTTGAGTGGCAGTATTATCGTGCTAAATGGGACAGACTTCAAACAGTTCTGGCAACTCAAGGCTGGGCATCCACGAGGCATTGTAAGCCATCAGCAACACTGGAATCATACTCCAACACAATCTGCAATCTCATGGCCTGGCCTCCTTCCCCAGTAGCATTGTGGGTCTACCTGCAGCACATAGCCTGCAGCAGTTCATGACGGAAGGTCACCACCAGCTAAACACATGCAATAAATGCTGGCCCAACCAACAATACCCACAGTCCCATGAGTGAATAAAAACACTTCGTGTTCTGGTCAACATTTCTTCCTGAACCAAAACAAGAACAAAACAGATCGAAACATTTATTTCATTTACTGTATATGAATTAGTTGACTGTAACCTATATTGTATGGAGTTTAGAAGAACTAAAGGTGATCTCACTGAAAAACTCAAGATTCTAAAAGGACTTGACAGGGTAGATACTAGCCGAGGAACCTGAAATATATACACAACCTCAGGATAAGGGAATCAGTCCTTTAGAACTAAGCTATAAGGATTGTATATGGCCATTGTTGAATATATATTTAAGAGCAAGATGGACAGATATTTGGACTTGTGAGGAATCAAGAATATAGGGAGTGTGTGGAAAATTGACCTTGATTTTGAGAATCTGTTACAATCATACTGAATGTCAGGGCAGGCTCAATAGACTATATGGCCTACTCCTGCTCTTATTTTTCAAGTTTTGACCATCTCGCGGTTTTTATTTTAAATATAGGTTTCTTTAATTAAATCTCCCAGCTACTGTGGTCAGATTTGAGTTTATATTTAGAAGCCATTCAGCCAGGTTTCCGAATTACCAGTCCAGCAGTATTACCATGTGCTCATTGGTAAGTATTGTGTGCAGTTCTGGTCGCTCTGCTACAGGAAGGATTTTATTAATTTGGGGAGGATTCAGAAAAGTTTTACCAGGATGTTGCTGTTACTGGAGGGTTTGATTTATAAGGAGAGGTTGGATAGGCTGGGAGATTTTTCACTGGAGCTTTGGATGTTGAGGATCTTATAGGGTTTATAAAATCACAAGGATTATAGCCAAGGTGAATAGCAAAGGCCTTTTTCCTCGGGTGGGGAGTTCAAGACCGGGGGCATCTTTTTAAGGTGAGAGGAGAAAGCTTTAGAAGGGACCTGATGGGCAACTTTTTCACATGCAGATTGGTTCGTATGTGGAATGAACTGCCAGGAGAAGTGGTAGATTTACAACACTTACATTTAAAAGACATTTGGACAAGTAGGTGAATAGGAACGGTCCAGAGGGATATGGGTCAAATGCAGGCAGGTGGGACTCGTTTAGTTTGGGAAACTTGGTCGGCATAGACAAGTTGGGTTGAAGGGTCTGTTTCCATGTCAAATGAATCAATGACTCTATCATATCTTGTTTGTTGTGATACAAATTTTAGTAATGCCCTGAAGCTCTATAGAATTGATTACTCTAATCTTTTCATAAGGTAGGAAAGCTTTTTTTTTTCAAGACAATGAATAAAGGATAAGCAATCATTTTCTCCATCTCCTGACTGATATTGTCAAGTAAACCATACAGTGAGGTAATTACTCCGTTTGTTGAAAACCAAATGATATTGATCTATCTGCTGCGGAAAAAAATACATCACATGTAGTGCTTGTGTTAACAAGAACTATAAATATTCTTCCATTGTTCTTCCAATAATCTTCAGTAATACTTCCTCATATATTGACCCGAAACACAAATATTTCATTGCATGTACTTGAAGCTTCTGTATTTCTATTTGCACTTCCAAGGATAAAATGCAAGAAACATTCTAGAAGATATCTGAATATGTTATGGATTTCTTGTGATGTACTGAAAAGATCAAATAATTTTATTTTGTTGAGACTGGTATCTATCAAACCCACAACCTGTCTTTGGTTTCCTGTGTTATTATGACTCAATTTAGTGACAGGAATTGTGCTTCATTCTTTCATAACACTAACGATCATTTTGAGACAGTCACTGTCAACTGAGAAAGTAGCATCAGACTGTCACATTTTAGTAGAGATAGTAGGAACTACAGATGCTGGATAATCTGAGATAACAAGATGTAGAGCTGGATGAACACAGCAGGCCAAGCAGCATCAGAGGAGCCCTTCCCCTCCCCCATTTCTGAAGAAGGGTCTAGGCCCGAAACGTCAGCTTTCCTGCTCCTCTGATGCTGCTTGGCCTGCTGTGTTCATCCAGCTCTACACCTTGTTATCTCAGTTAAATTACTATATTCTGCACAAGTAAAACAATTACTGAATTTTCCTCATGCCAGCAAAATGGATAGTCTAGAGAGACTGGGCCTCTAGTAATAGATTTTCTCCAGAAGATTGCTCCCATCACTCAACAAAACAAGTGATTCATATTTGGCGTGCATTAATTTTCACAGACATTGGCAATCCTCCAGTTCCACATTCATGTGTTTATTTATGATAGATTCCAGACAATGAATGTTAACAAACTGTGTACTGGGGACAACACATTCAGCCTAAGTCTGTTTTCCCATATGAATTTAAATAAACTTATATGAAGAGCAAGAACAGTGTTATGCTTCATATGGTACTCTTCATAGAAGAAACCATATCCAGAAGCTTCACAAGGGTTATCAGGCAAAAGTGGAAGTTAAAATGAAGGAGGAGATATTAAGGGTTATGATCTTAAGCTTGATCAGAAAAAGTGATTTTTATGATGAGTTTTAAAAGAGCAGAGGAAAGTGGTGAGGGGAAGGGATTTATTCATAGAATAATGGACTTTTTTAATTTCAAAAATATACTTTATTCATAAAAAAACTTTAGAACAATGGAAAGATACTGCTCAGGGGAAGGCGATTCGGCCCAACAGTTCTATGCTGTCTTGTTAAAAGAGCTTTCCAATTAGTGGCACTCCTTTGCGTTTAGCTTACAAATCTTCCCCTACGAGTATTGATCTATTTCCCTTCTGAATCTAGTTCCATTACATTTTCAAGGATTTCTTTGTAAATTTTAATAGCTGGCTATATTAAAAAAACACATTCCCTCATATTGGGTCTATAGATGTGAGTCTGGAAAAGGACATCAGGTCAGACAACATATGAGGAGCAGGAAAGTCAACGTTTCATCCCGAAATGTTGACTTTCCTGCTCCTCAGATGCTGTCTGACCTGCTGTGATTTTCCTGCCTCACACCTATAGACATTGGCTTCCAGTCCTTATCGTCTCCTTCCCTCACGTTGGCTCAGTCTCGTTTGTCAATTCGCCTGAATCTATGTTCCTGGTTACTGATCCTTCTGAATTAGAAACAATTTTCCTTCATTTACTTGATCAAAACACTCCGTAATTTTGAACACTTCTATAAAAAGTATGAAACTATGAACATGAAAATAATGACAAGCTCCTCTGGCTGGTCAGCCTATATTCCATTGATACCTGATTATGAGCAATGTGATCTGCTGGGAGAAACATACAAGTCCAAACCAATTGGAAGGAAACATAATCTGCAAAATTACTTAAAGTTGATATGTAGCCCAAACACAAACAGGTCCAATGTACACTTGAAGGAAAGCAGCAATTCAGTATTCATTGTACAAATCAACTGCTTTGTTCAAAGGTCACTGTCCTTTGGGGAATGACCTACTTCCTGCCATATCACCTTTCTCTGACCTCATCAACTTAAAAATTGCATCCCCTAATCATACCTAAGCATTTAATTAATACAAATAGTCAGTTGGAACTCATTCTTACACCCATATTGTCCTATAATGGTCAATCAGATCTGCCCTAAGTCTATGCAGTGCTAGGGTGTAAAGCCCAAATGTTTTAATTTATCTCAATTCCCAAGGTGCTTTATTTTGTAAACTAATGTAGAAGTCTTATTTCCCACCCTATCTAAAGCTTCAAAATTACCCATCACGTCAGGAAACCAGAACTGGACACATTAAAATAAAGGATGCCTGACTAAAGTCTTGAACAAACTGATATGTCTCATTTTATAATCAATTGTCTTCTGAATGGACTTTAACATTCTACTTTTTCTAGCTATTACTTCTTGACATTGATTGAGGACCTGATACAGAAACATGGAGTTAGGGAGGAAGATCAGCCATGAATTCATTTGAATGACAGAGCAGGTTTGAGCACATGTGTGGATTACTCCTGCTCCTACTTATTCTTTTATTTTTTTTTGCAAAGTAAGCACTCAGATCTCTTTCTTTTACTACCATCATTTAATATTTTCCCTGGCAAGTGTATGAATGATAAGCGACTTCCTTGTCCTCAAGCATAATGTGATATTGATCTGAATGCAACCTTATTTTTGAGTCATGAATCCAGTCTCATTAAGATTGCCTGAAGCAGTCAAACATCATCCACCTAACACCTACAGTCACATCATTAGTTAAAATAGTAAGGCACAACAGCTCCAAACTATTGTCTCTGGGACATAGCGGTGACAGGTCTCTAATAAGATCCAAATCTATTTGTAACTACCTTTTGCTTAACCTGTTGGTTTCCAATCTTACAGAGAAGACTCTTGTGCTGTACATTACCAAAAAACTTCTAAGATATTTAAATAAATAGTGCCTTCAGGCATTCCTCATTCTCCATCTTTGTAACATCTTTTGAAAAATGTGATCATATCTGTAAGGCATGATCTTTTTACGAAGTTCTGTTGGGCTTCCCTAACATTTCCAATTGATGATGAATTGCATGCTTACCAATTCCCTTAAGCATCTTTTCTGTTACTGATATCAAACTAATGGACCTAAAGTTACCTTGGTCTGTCTTGTCACTTTTTTTTTAAAGATGCTAACTACATTATGCATCTTCCAATCAATAGAAATCATCTCACAGTGCAGTGGGCTATTAAATATACAGGCCAGGGTCTCATAATCGATCTGCTATATCTGAGGACATTCTACTGTATATGATTTAGCTTATTTGCTCCATTTGAAAGTTTTAATTGTATCAAAAATATGTTTTTTTTAGTATGACCAGCTTGATTATTACAAATCATTCAATTCTAATAGTCAAGAATCATTTTGAAGTGTGAAGACTGATGCATAACATTCGTTCATATTTCTACTATATCCATTGAGTCTTTTGAATCAAGCTGTTCAGACATGTTGTGAAAGATTTCCAGTGGAGGTGGGACTTGAATGCAGACCTTCTAACCCAATGACAAGGCCACCGCCACTGTGCCACTAGAACCCTTGAGTCCTTATTAACCTGTCTTGAACATCTGTCAATAGCCTTAGACTATTTTTAATCGTTTCCTGACTCTTAGTCACTGAAAAATATTTTATCATTATTTCCACAATTGTCTATTATCCTCTGATGCATTACCCTTTTAACTGATCTAATAAGCATTTCCTTTTGCTTCAGTCAGTCCTTTAAAAGGGGGTCTTGGAGACAGTAAGGACTGAAGATGCTGGAAGCTAGAGTCAATAGATGTGAAGATGGAAAAGCACAGCAGGCCAGACAGCATCTGAGAATCAGGAAAGTCAATGTTTTGGGCAAAAAACCTTTGTCAGGTCCTAATGAAGGGTTTTGGCCTGAAACATTGACGTTCCTGCTCCTTGGATACAGTCTGACCTGCTGTGCCTTTCCAGCTCCACATTTATTGCCTTTAAAAGGGGGAACCTGTTAACTCTCATAATTGATGACAATTATCGTAGAAATTAATGATGAATGGTAAAGAAATAGCAATCTGTTTGCATTGTAATGGATCATCAGGGAAATTCTTACAGATGGTTAAGGAGGTCTGCTATAAATAGTATTAGTCTATGCTAGGAACTTGGTATCTCCAAAGTTTCTTTGTCCACTGTCATATCCAGGAAAGGCATACCCTATACAAAAACAGAAAGTTCTGCACTAACTCAGCAAGTCTGATAGCATCTGTGGAGAGAAAAAGTGTTAACGCTTTGAGTCCAGTGACCCTTCATCAGAACATAAACTTTAAAGCACAACTCCTAATTAGTTTGAAATCATCTGGTACTAACATCCTTTAAAATGAAGTTTGTTGAGAAGTCTGCTGAGGGTCAGGTGATTTTTGGATATTGTGTATGGACTCAGAATGATCTCAAATCTCTATAAAGTACTTGAAAAACGATTGAGTGGGACATCTTCCTTTTGATGGGCATTTCAAGATGAAAACAGTTTATAAAATTCACACCTGCCATCATTTAACCAAAACCAAAGTCTAGACTTCATGCCTCAAAGCTTGAAACTTAAAGAGAGTGGTGCAGAAACAGTCAGGTGTTAATAACTCACCAAATTCCCTGTGGCATAGCAATGCCCCAAAACTGCCTTTAATTGATAAATCTTTTACTTCAAGAACCAGGGAGAAACTAAATCAGTCTGCAAATAACAACTGCAGAGATAGCAGGAGAAATGATAGCAACATCCATACCTTTAAACACAGAAGAATGCATTATCTTAAAACCGCTCCGCTGTTACATAAATGTAGGAACAAGGAACAAGAATAAGCTGCTCGGCCCTT